CACCACCTTCCTGTCTCAACACTCTAAAAATGAAATGTTGGATTTACTTAACCATGTTATGTGACCTGGTTCCACTTAACCGAGTTGAGTAAATTCAAAGCAACATACTCATGTTCTTTGGCTAAAAAACTGGTATATTGCTTTGAATTTACTCAACTCATTTAAGTGGAACCAGGTGACACAACATGGTTAAGTAAATCCAACATTTCATTTTTTACAGTGAAGTTGTGACTAATATTAAAATTTAAAGTTGATTAATGGCCGTTTCCACGCTCCCCTCACCCGGTATTCTTCAAACCTCACCCAATAGTCAATTTGACCAATCACTAACAAACTACGCCCACCAAAATTAAACAGACCAGTCTGGGACAAACTCCTCCCACATAACAGGAAACTCCCACTCAATGCCTGGAGACCTCCTTCGCAAATTTGTGACTGAATGCCAACAGGTACTGCCTGCCATTTGTTCACATGATGACGTCCATGAAAGATAAGTTTTAAGGCTTTTTAAAATATATTTATTCATTAAAACTATGCAGGCAAAAATGGTTTGTTTACACTGAGTGCATACCTGCATTTCACATATTACATATCTGTAAAACTATTGGAGTAAACTCTTTCAAACATTGCTAAAGTTCAGGGTAACATTTTTATGTTTCATTTTATAGTTTGCAATGAGTACCTTTACAAAACTAGATTAAAGTCAAAATGTATCATAAACATTTTTAAAAATGGCCTATAAAATACAATTTTCACTTCAGGATACAGAGCCAAAGACAGTGCTGAAATGACACAAAAAGACAATTATGTGGTCATCTTGCACAACTAAGAAACTTCCAACCAGTATTGTACAAACTATACATAAACATTTCATTTTTTACTGCATCCTCTTAAAGGGATAGTCTGCTTATTTTTTGAAGTGATTATTTTGTCAAATAGTTTATCAGTACCTTATCGGTCACTGAGTGTATAGTAGATTAGAATAAAATATATTTAAAGAAAGCTTTTTATTGTCAATACACGTCATCTGCACAATAAAATTTGGAGTGTTATACACTGTAACAGTGCTCTTTGATTAAAAAAGTAAAAGGCAGTAAATATAAACAGACGGCACAACAATTTATTTAGACATGCACCAACGTAAAGCTCAATCCACTCCTCAGCAGACTGATGCATTTACATCCTCAACATTATATGACACCTTGAACACACATTTGTGTTACATGGATGTTGTTTGGTTGAAAAAAGAAACAGCAACAATTAAAAAAAACAGTGATGAGAAATAGTTATTTCATAAGCCTGAAAGATGTTAAAAACTTGTGCTTGTTTTGCTAACCATTAAAGTCACTGCTGGTAAGGTACTAACTATTAATAACTACAAGGCAGAACATCAATTCAAAAATCACCGGACTATCCCTTTAACTCCTTCACACAGCAGCTATAGTCACATTCACTTAGTTATATGAATTTTATTAATCAAACATAGAAATATAAATAGCCTAAGTGGGCTCATTTTTTAAAAAATATAAACAGCCTAAAGAAAGTGCTGGCTTTATGATTTCCTTTGACAACTTCTGAAACCCTGAAGGGAGAACAAAAACGTTTTGCGTTTAATCCACTAAGAGAATAAATAATTCAAATAATGAGAGAGAAAAATGAGTAAAAGATGTTTGTTGGTGGGCCATGTCGTGGGACTAAAGCAAACTGGCATAATTAATAGATTTTACCAATCTTGTATTTCAAAATAAGAGCATGTGTACCATTGGAGTTATTTAGGATTTATCAATCAAGCAATGACAGAGACAGAGTCAGATTAATCATGCATGTAACTTTAGGCATAGATAGACAATTAAACTGCAAATAGGTCCAAATAAAATTTGAAAGTCAGCAGTGTTCATGTCTGTACTTTTTTATCAGTACTTTTACAACTCGTTGATCCTTTTGTGGCTCTGCGGGGCATATTTTTGTTGGAACCACAGGGAGTTGGCCAGAAAAGTTTTACTCTAACAGAAAGCATGGGTTTTGCTGACAGAGATCTCATCAGCACTGTGACATTTATTTTTATTTATTTATTTTTATTTTATGTTATTTTATTTATTTTTTGCCACTTCAGTAGAAAGCAGAACTGAATATCAGAATATTAGCATCTTAGCTTCTTCATCATCAGTGGCTTTTTATTTTTATTTTTTTAATAGGAGAAAAAGAAAGAGAAAGAAAAAAGTGAAATGTAATGAGAAAGAGTGGAAGACAGAATTGAAGATATGTGAAATATATGTTGAGAAAACACAAGACAGCACACCCGACATCTTGGCTCCACACCTACAAAAACAAAGATAGCAAAACCACAGGAACAAAAATGCATAACTATGTAATTATAATGACTATAGCCTTGCTGAAAACCATACCCATATACATATATAAATTCATACATATACACATAAACATACCCCTATCTACATATCCAAACACTTTCATATATTTACACATACACATATACATACGGTATATCTATACATACACATATGCACATACCATTCAGTCAGTGCCCGAATAGAAAACCCAGGATGTAAACACCTGTTTGGGTGCGGTTGTGAACATGCATGGATCTCTCCAATGTATTGTTTCAAAGTGACTGTGGGGGACCACAGACCCGACCCGCAAAGCCGGAAGCCGACATAAGGGAGATCAGCGCCAAAGACCCCGAGAGGGACCCCAAGCGTGCAGCCCCAGAGACACCCGCGTTGGAAGGGCCGCCCACCCACCCCCCAAAGGGGACCACCGGAAAGAACTGGAAGAGCCCCACCAGCCACCACACACAGCAACCTCTGGGGCCAGCAGCGACAAACTCACAGGCCCCCCTTGTACCCTCCGCACCAG